CTGGATATAAGTCCTGGGGGAGTAAAGCACCAGGCTGTGAATGTATCACCGTTCATACTTCATGCATTTCCCATGTGGCAAAGGCTTGGTCACAGGCTTGTGGCGTGTTGGGGAGGTGGTGACACCTTTCAAAGGGGGGCCTCTGTGGGACGGAGTCGGGTTACAGGGACTGGGCTCCTGAGGGAATGTTGGGAGCCTGGTCCCTTCCTGTCCCTTCACTTTTCAGCCACCCAAGCCATGCAGATTTGCCGTTCCACAATCTCCCTGTCCTGAAGTTCTGTCTCACCAGGGCCCAAAAATGATGGAGCCGTGTGATAGGGGCTAAAGCTCTGAAAGCATGAGTTCAATAAACAATTCTTCCTTCACATTGCTTATCTCAGGTATTTTGTCACAGTGACAGAAAGCTGACCGTGCCTGTTCCCATCTTGCATTCACTTTCCAGGAGGTGCTGGGGAATTCATTGAATTTTTTCTGTTTTCTGTTAATGAAGGACACGTTGATATGTTAGAAATAAGATCCCATGTCTGCAGAAATGAAGGAATCTGATAGAAGAAGTACAATAGTAGTGCTCTCTAGCTAAATATCTCTGGACTGTCTCACTGGTGTGTGAATGTGTGTGTGTGTGTGTGTGTGTGTGTGTGTGTGTGTGTGTGCGCGTGTGTGTAAGCACCTAGGTGTGCAGACAGGTGATCTCTGTCTGGACTGAAATCCATACTTGGCCACGGGCCATATCATCTGCCTCAGTCCTATTACTCCACAAAACCTGTGCAGGGAAGTAGATCGACTCAAAAGGTCAGTAACTGACTTAATATGAGGACAAGAATAACTGTGCATTTGTGTAAAGCCTTTCTCAAAGGAGCCCTCGGAACAGTGCAGATGATGGACTTATTTATCCTTAGAGCACCTCTGTGAGGCCCTTACAGGACAGGGGTGGCCGACACTCATAATAATGTCAGGAACCGCACAAAGTCAAACTAGCTCGTAATTCCGAGGCCCTGGATGAGAGGGTGGCTCCAAGGTCACCCAGTGAGGTGGGATTAGGACAAGTGTTCTTGCTGGAGTGAGAAGACGTCCTTCCCAGGATTTCTGTTCCCAAGACCTGACCCCACATACCCTGGGCTCTTTTTTTTCGGACACAGGTTTCACTGTATAGTTCAGGCTGCCCCTGAACTCACTGTGTAGCCCAGGCTGGCCTCAAATTTGCAGCAATCCGCCTCAGCCTCCCAAATGCTGAGATTGCATGTGTGTGCCGCCATGCCTGGCTTCTGGGATTTTCATGTGCACACCACAAGGTGTATTGCATGGGGTGATCGAAGTGTACTTACTAGCCCACATTCTAGTGAGCTCCAGAACGAAGGAATAAAAGGAGCTTTTATTCCTTTCTTGCTTCCTTCTTTTCTTCCTCCCTCTCTATGGTGGTTCTGGGGACTGCACCCCAGGACTTCAGTCTGAGCAATATGCCTAGCCATTTTTATTTTTTATTTTATGATAGGATCTCACTAAGTTGTCAAGAAGAGACTCTGTAATCCTCTTGCTTCAGCCTCTCAAGTGCTGAGCTTACAGCTTTGTGTCACCACCCCCAGCAAACATCTTTTTTCACTGGTGGACCCCTTAGGCACTTTAGTATATTGTGAATCTTTAAGAGGGGTCTCCTGTGTGTCCAGTTTCCAAATTTGCCCTCCCTGGAAATTTTCCTCTTCAGGGTCTCACAGAATTGGCGAAAGGCTGGTTTCTTAACATTTAACACCAGTCCTGCCCTGGTAGAAGACGATAGCCAGGGTTAGGAGCAAGCTTGGCTGGCCAGCTGTGGACACAGTGACTTTGTAAGTGCAACTGTCACTGGCACTGAGGCAGCAAGAGGGAAAGCTCCTCTGGCTGGAGCAGCGTGAGGAATGAGCTGTTTCTGTTCCTGGTAGAGAAGAGGAAAGACAAGAAGAGCAGAAGGAGAAAGAATGGAAGTGGGGGAGACTAAGAGGAGGAGAGAGACTCAGGCCACGTGGAGCAAAGATGAAGGGACACTGAAACTGGGGGTGTCACTGCTAGGCTATTGTATCTTCTGGCGTTTACAGGTGCAGTTAGCAGGAGCTGGCACTGCAGAGCAGTGTGTGTGTGTGTGTGTGTGTGTGTGTGTGCACGTGCGTGTATGTACTGAGAAGGCACTTCACTCTATCTCCACACTCCTGCAGAAACACTAACAGAAGTAGGCAGCATCAACTAACAGAAAATGAACAATGGTTTCTGTATAATCTCCTTGTCTATAAAAGTTTTTGTTTAGATTTTTAATACCCTGTAACACTGTCATTCTCTTGAATGGTGTTACATTGTCTTGATATGTTTGATGCTACAATATACGAAGTTATACTCAAAGATTTCAAGGAAAGAGACACTATAGTAACTACTTTTATGTCGGGATATCTTGTGGTGAAACACTGTTTTGCTTAAATGGTTATGTTTTGACCTGCGCTGTTTTGTTGTTATGCCATCTTTTATCTCAATCTTTTTTTATCATTTACTTTTTATTTAAGGGAAAAATAAATTTAAAAAAACAGGATATATTATAGTAACCCACTTTGATTTCCTGTTAACTTGATTTGAAACCCTGTATTGCTCTCACCATCTTGTTTTGACTCATTTCCCTCTATTCTGTTTTGCTTGATAGTACCAAGTTCAAAAGTATAGGCAACAACTGTGAAGACAATAAGATTCATTATGACACCCATTCTGGTTTGACTATTATCTTGTTTTGAAGTCCTGTAATGTCTCCAATGTTTTGGTTTTATTCTTTACTGTTTTCTTCAATTTTATTATAACTGATGATATAGGCAATTCTTTTTAAGATAGCAAGAGGCATTATGGTAACCATTGTTGATCACTTTGTATTCTGTTTTACATTATGTACTATGTCCATCTTTTTGATCTGACTGACTCTGTTTTGTTATGTCACATTTGGTTTTATTCTCTTCAAAAAAAGTAATAAGAACTGTGGGAGTAATAAAACCCAAAATGTGTAATTGTCATTGTACAAAAGAGAGGAAAAGAAAGTGCTCTAAAGGGTACAACTGCATGTATATTTAAGTGTATAAGATAGATAACCATATTACTGAGTTTTGTTAGATCATTGAACAGAATTGATTGCAGTCACACTGTTTGAATGTCCACTTTATATGCTTTAATTTTGTAACTTGAACAACTATTTCTAAGATGACAATATGTAATCTATTAACTAGTTATTTCCTACTGTTTACTTTTTCTGAAATTCTTTATAACTTGTACCCTTTTTCTCTTTTTTTCTTTCTTTTTCTCCTTAAATAAAATTAACAAAACAAAACAAAACAAAACAAAACAAAACAAAACCAGAAGCAGGCAGTAGAGGCAGCAGTGACCGTGAGAGCGAAGTCTTGGGTGCACATGATGCTCCGGAGGGTGGGCATGTGGGCTGCTGTTGGGGACTATGGATTAACTGGCTTCTGATGCTGCCCCCAGTGTGTCATCCTAGGGTCATGAGTATTGTCTCCATTTGTCCCTCACTAGCCTGGACATCTGGATCCCGGAGAACACGTGGCAGCACTCTATCTTCCAGACTGAACACACTTCGTTCCCTCCCTGTTTCTCACAGACTGGCTACCACATAGTCCCTGTTCTGGAGCCTTTCATCCACATTCCCTCCAGGATTTCGATCGCCTCTCTTGCCTGCCATGGATCCGCAAGTGTGGTCCCTGCCCATCACTGAATAGCATAAGGTCTTGACTTTCTGGAACTGGATGTTCTGCTTCTACTGAAGCAACTTAAATTTGATTCAGTATTGCTTTTATTTAGCTGCCACATTGAGTTCTCAGCTCCCATTAAGCCTGTGGTCACCTGAAATACTTATCAAGTAATAAATAAGCTCACCCATGGTGTGGCAGCTGTTCTGATTGCATGGCACTCCTCCCCTGAGGGCGAGAGCTGGTGGTTCTGTGTCTTGTTCGGTGCTGATCACTGTCTCCATCACGTGATGGAGACACCTGCGGGAAGGCACTGAGAACGGCTAGGAGCCCCTTTGTGCAGGGCCTGGGTGTAAGGAAGCGATAATTAGCAATGTCATTCACAAACATCTCTTGCTTCTCCTGCACTCACAGCTTGTTTGTCAGAGCTGGCTGATGCTCTGGTGAGAGGCGATGTGTAAACACAGGTAGACAGTAAAGCTGGCAGAGTTTGCAGAGCTGTACAGGGACCCCCATTACAAACATCCTTACCAACAGTGACAACCACGAGCGTAAACACAGTTCATCCCAAGCAGCTTTAAGTGTTTCTAGGGGTAGGAGATCCAGGTGAGGAGGGACTGGGTAAGGAAGCAGCAGACGAGGACGTTCTCAAGTCTAGGATGTTTCTGCATTATCAGGGCTGAGCTCCTCTCTCCTGACAAGTAGCTCTGCAGGGCCAGGAGACACCTTGAGGATCTGGTCCCGCATCCCTGACGAATGGTGGAAGCAGCAGGTACATGGAAACAGGTCTGCAGCTGCTCTCACCAGAGTGCAGGTTTGAAAATCCCAACCTTCTGAGGCTTAGTTGCTTTGTGTCTAAAATATGTTTTCCAAAACCCATTTGGAAAGCAAGAGGTGGGACACAGGCCCTGATGTCCTGGGGAAGCTGCAGCTTACTATCTGAACTAGTAATTAGACCTCTTAGTCAGAGAGAAGCTCAGCCACTCATTCAGCGTTACATAATCCCTTCGGTTGGGCCTTGTGATGGGGCTCAGGCCTTTGAGGACAGGGGCCCTCAGCCTCTTAGACCTGCAGACCAGGTGAGATCTGCATGGCGACGGCTGTGATGGGAGGCAGAAACAGAACGTGCTTTAAGAATCAGATAGAGTGAGCTGGGAAAGTCTGCTCCGAGGAGGGAGAGTGTGGTAGGAGAGAGTATGGATCAGCTACATTTGTGCCAGTCCTGAAGGCTGCGTAGGAAGCAGACACAGGGAAGACTCAGAGGCGCACCCTCCCCAAGGCAGAGGAAAGCACGGCTCCCACTTGGATGCAGAGTGCGTCACATCAAGTCCTAATTCAGCCCTTACCTTACTCCAACACTCATAACCGCTAACACTGCACAGCCTTACCTGGGCCAGGTGTATTCTGCACCCCTCGGCAAAGGCAGGGCTGGAGCGCTTTGAGCCTGTATGGACTTTATCCTGTCAGCAGAGGAACCTGCAGCTTTGGAGCATTGGCAAGAGTCCAGGTGGTACCTGTAAGAGGGTGAGTCAGCTCCTTGGGTCTGGTTCGAATGGGGTTCCCTCAAAAGGATTTGTTGCCACTCCCTAGAGAGCCAGTGTCATATTTCAGTCTGAAACCATTCATTAAAGGTATAGCACATGCAAGATAAAACTTAAATGGACAGAAAGCTACAGTTTTTTAGAAGGGTGAATAGATTAAAGTAATTAATCTCATTATTCAGTCATTCATTTAACAAACATTTAAGAAAGAGTCCAACAGAGTCAGAACCTGTGACTCAAGAAAGGCCAATGCTTCTCAGCCCCCATGATTCGGCTCGGAGGAAGCCTCTTGCAGAAGCCTCTGTGACACGTTCTCTGTGAATAACTCCTGCTTTCACACTGTCTCTACTTACTCCCCACATCCTCAGCAGGCTCAGCATTGGGGCTGAGTCATCAGTGTACCTGGTTCCATGTGGCAGGGGGTATTGGAGGTTTGTACTGTGTGTGAATGGGCCATCAGTGAGGTTTCTCAGAGGAACAACTCCACGGGGAGACTTGCAAGGGAACACTGGAGATAACCAGCAGCACAAGGTACGAGGGCCAGCAACAAGGACCCGTCCCAAGAGAAAACTGAAGCGCAGGGCAGGAGAGATAAGCTTGAGTGAAAGCAAGTGAGTGGACATCGGAGCACGGGGCTAGCGCATGCAGGCTGGGGAGCCTGGGCTGGGCCTGATGAATGCTGAAGAGCCCCTGGAACTGTTTACACAGAGGAATGATAAGGTCAAATTGGAATTTTTCATGAATACTTTCATAGCAAATACTGACATTATTCTACGCCCTGTGTATGATCAGCTTTCTACTGCTGGGACAAAATATCTGAAGCACACAATTTAAAGGAGGAAGGGTTTATTTGGGCTCACAGTTTCAGAGATGTTAGTCCACGGTCAGTTCACCTCAAGACAGAGACAGCATGGCGAAAGGGTATGGTGGAAGCTGTGGCGGAAGGGAGCTGCTGTCCACCACAGGCAATTGAGGAAGTGTGGCCACGTCCTAGTAAGTCTTCATGAATGCACACGGATATTTGAATTTCACAGAATTTCCATGTGTCATGAAATATCACTGTTCTTTTGATTTTTTTGGCAATCACTTAAAAATGCAAAAGCCATTCTTAGCTTGAGAGAGCACTGGAAGGAGGAGTGGGAAGCTGTGGGCTGTGGACTGCAGCTGGCTAACCTCTAGGGTGGGTTCTGGCTTGGGGAAAAGAGAGCAGGAAGAGGTTCAGGACAAACTGAGGGAACTCGAGCCACGTTGTGTCTTTCTTGCTCAGGGCTCCTTCCTGCCATCTGCTAGCCAGGCACACACGCTGTGAAGGGAGTAATTCAGACCAACATACCGTGTGTGACCCCCCTAGACCTGAGCCACCACTAATAAAGGAACATTTGCAAGGACAGTGTTAACAAGCAGTGGCTGTCTCTTCCTCCAGCTCTCCTTTCCCGTGCCCGGCATGGTGGTAATGAAAACAGGTTTACATAAACACGGAGGTCGTGGTCACACAGCACTCTCATGGTAAAGTGTTTCCGAATACTAATAGTTTTCATTTAATGCAAAATCCAGGATGTAGCCGAGAGCTTGAGGTGACCTGAAATACCACTCTAAATTGCACAGCTTTATAAATAAAAAATCATTCTGTGGGCTAAATTACTTTAACTTTCTTCATCCATATTGGAAATAGGGGAACAAAAAGCTTGAAACTCTCTGAACCCAAATCTTGCAGAACCAGTGGTGTGTCCTGAAATGTCAAATTCTTAAGAGAAAAATAATACGTGATTTGTAGACTGCTGCCACTGACCAGCCTCCTTGCCCTGCTCTCAGAAATCTCTTACCAGAATCCAGAAGCAACCCTTTCCCCATGGTCATCATGATAGCACCCCAGGACAATGATTCCTGGCTGTCATTTTTGAGCATGAATTTCATACCAGACACTTGGCCAAACTTCTAAAATACACAACTATAGATATTTGATATGGATGGATGATAGCATAAACAAAGCACAGTGATTTGTATTTGTTTCTTTTCTATTGTTCTAACGAAATACTCGAGGCTGGCTAATTTAGAAGGAGAAGATTATTTAATGGGCAGTTCTAGAGGTCCAAGGGCAAGATGCTGACATCTGCTTGGATTCCGGTGAGGACTTCCGGGTGGATTGTATCAGACTATGTGTGTGAGAGACAGAGCTGACCCACTGGGTAGCAACCTACTTTTGTGGTAATCCCCCCAGAGCCATGAGACCTAATTCATTTTCAGAAGGCCTCTTTCTATCTCCAGAGAATGGCCCAGTCTCTAGGGAAAGACATTGGGACTCACGCCTGAGCTTGTGCCCCGTGGAAATCACATTGTGTAGATCTCAGTACCATCACATTGTGGACCATGACTTCCAGTGTTTTGGGGCACAAACCACATCTGCACCAGAGCAGGGTCTTACAGACCCTCATCCAAGTGTTCTCAGGTATTAAAAGGTTTTATTAGTGGAAACTCCCACACATCATAGCTTTTACATGGAACTTCAGCACATAATGCAGGGGAAGGGCTTCCCCCAGAGTGGTCCCTGAGATATCCTAAGGTCTTATATCAGGAGCAGGATGCTCACTCTATAAACTAGATAGCTGAAGCCCAGAGAAGTTAAATTATTTTCCTAAGAGCACAGAGCTCTGGCTGGAGCAAGCTGCTTCCAGGGTCAGTAGTCACAGTGCTCTATAAGGCGGCTGTTATCAAGTGATTTCTCGAGCTGAGCGTAAACAGTTGATGTCATTCTTGACCTCCAATAGGGCCAGCTCGAAGCACTGCTAGCCCTGAGACACAGGATAAAATCCTGGGTTGCATCTCAGCTGACCGCCTGCTTTGGGCTTGGGCTTGGGCTTTCTCATGTACAGTACAGGAATAACTATCAGACCTGGTGGGAGGACCCTGTGCAGGAAGGAAGTGAAAGTGTTCGGTGGGAGGCTGTGCCTGAGAATGTGACTCTGGCTGTTTTAGGCAGGCCTTGGTGGCAGCCCTGGGGAAGGCCACTGGCCAAGGCCACGCAAAGCAGAGCCATGTGGGATTTTCGACTGGCCCAGATTGTCCTGTCCGATTGCATGCTTGGCATCAAAGAATCGGCTTTTGCGGGCTGGGGGAAAATACTGCTGAATTTCAATCCTCGCTTTGTGCTCGTCTTTCCAGCACCAGCAGTGTCTCCCATCTGCCATCCATCTAGCAACCGGGAAGGAGAAAAGGACTTTTCTTTTACCCTGTAGTTCCTTAGCAGCATTCAAGAGTTATGGGTTTTTGCTCCCCCAAGAAAGAAACATTATCTGCAGCCTTCAAGGGTGAGGATGGCTGAATGCAACAGGGCTGAGTAATGCCTTTTCTCTATCTTTCATACTGGAATTTAAGAGGACCCCAGAGCAGCTGGGTTTATTAGGACCCATAAGAACTGCACTATAACCAGGACACCAGCCGCCATAAACCTGTACCTTGAAGTTTGCAACAAATCCTGAAATGGTGAACTAGGACAAGCTCTTGTCTCTGTCAGCAGAAAAGAATAAAAATAAAATAAAATAAAGGGAGAATTGCAAACTCCAGCAGAAAAATGTGCTGGAGAAGGGGAGGCAGGAAGATAGAAAGAGAGAGCGAGAGCGAGAGCGAGAGCGAGAGAGAGAGAGAGAGAGAGAGAGAGAACAGCAATGCTGTCGAGCATAACAGTGGTCATCAGCATCACACATAAAGCAGGTGGTGGGTGGGTTGCAACCTCCATGGACAGGTCTGGGGACATCACCTGCATCATGAGACCAGGCTGGATAGTCAGTGGAGAGGGCAAAGTGTGATTAGAGATGAGGATGCACGATGCATGCACACACACACACACACACACACACACACACACACACACACACCTGGCAGAAGAGAGGGAAGAAGCTGCCGGAAGGCAAATAGAAGCAGGTGAGTGATGAAAGCCATTGGAAGCCCCTTTGCAGCCACCACCAATGACACAGCCACTGGCAGCACTGACTTGGTGAGGTGTGGACACTTTCTCATCTGCTCTTTGGTGCTGTGTGGATGGCTGACTTTCCTCTGACATGCAGAGTTCCTTCAAGGTTGAACACAGACCAAAGAGTTTGTCTTCACTAGAAAAGAGCAGAATGAAAGTAGAATGCACCGGACCACAGTGACCACGCACGCTTGGCCTCAGTAAGCCAGGTGCAGCGGAGCCAGGCAGCAGAACGAGGGGACTGTTCTGATGTCCTGGATGAAGAGCATTTCTAGAAATAGCAGGAAACAAACTTGCTCATGGCTCATTTTTCCTTTGCAAGTTGCCTGCTTTGCCTCTAATCCCATCTCACCGGCATGGCAAACCCAAAATCCATTCCTTTCTCCTTCATAAACAGAACAGCAATTTTTATTTGGAGTAACAAAGAGTCTACTTTATCTCTGGGGCATTTGGGAGGCTTTTGAGACAATTCGAGTCAATGAGATCAATGTCTAAATTTGCTATGAATCTTGAGTAAAACTTTGTCTTTCCTGCTAAGAGGGATAGTGAACATGAAAGGTTTCTTTCCTCTCTGTTCTTCCTTTGAATGTGAACACGATGTCTGGAGCTGTGGTAGCCACTCTGTAACCATAGAGCCACGGAGAATAAAAGCCAACACCTGAAGGATCACAAGAGAAACATTTTGAAAACTGATCCAACTCCTCCCACCTCTGAACCTCTGTTACATGAGAAAAATAAACACTTCTTTGTCAAAGTCACCATGAGCTGAGGTTTTTGTATTTGCGGCCAAACTCAAGCTTAACTAGAACACTCAGGTGGAAAGGATTTGGCACCTCTTCGTTTTCTTAACTTCTAACTTTCCTCTTTCCTCTTTCTAGCTCATAAGCCTCGGTTGCCGAAGTATTAAATAACCCCAGCATCCCAATGATGTAAAACCAAGCATCTTGAGCTAGGCTGGGCAGAGGGAACCTTCCAGGAGAGCCCAGGCCAACTCTCAGCCGGCCCTGGTCTTGGCT